CAATTTAAATGTGGCTTTATTGTAACTCTTAATTATCAACGATTTTCTTCGTGTACTTTATTGCTTTCTTATCTCTTCGAAGGGAAACTCCGCGGCTTAACAATGAAATTAATTCTTCTCGAACCGGGTTTACGGATTAATTTAGTCAACTCTACACAAGAGTCAATACATCAACCGTAAAGCCGGAGTGAAAACGTTAAATTTTCCCGTCTCTTTGAAAACACTATTGTTCATGAAAACTAATACATCTGTGAGCCCTCACCGACCTAAAAGCGAATCAATTGTACAAAGAAAATTACGATTATTTTCCTTGTGAAACTCCATTTTGGTATAGTTTTGTTACAGTGATTACGTTGATAATCAGTTTCTATAGCTTGTAATAGTCAATATTTTTGTGTAAGGTACATAAATAACTTCTCTGTTTCCTTCCCAATTTATTGCGATTTGTTTTGGAAGGCATCTTAATTATTTTTTTCAAAACAATAGCTCCCTATCATCTGTCAATGATCGTCCCCTTACAAACTTCCCTATTGAAACAATAATATTTAAAAATGCTGAAACGATATCGAGCGATTTTTTTCTGACGCAACCTCGCTCGTTTGTTGTCACGAACTCTCCGATCCGAGGGACTCGATGCACGAGGAATACATTTTTTCGACAAAAGGCCAAAACCGGTGAAATATTGTATTATGAATAAAATCAAGTTTTCCAGTCAGTGTTTTGGCATTGATATGTTGGCCTCTGTCAAGTCCACATGACGATTTTCCTTCGTTTTTCTGGCATTTTACTGCCATTAAAATCGTTTCATCAAAGCTTTTGTTGGAATACTTTATAAAAATTCAATTACCATGTAGGTACCTAATACAATCAAAAATTATAAATTCCCGTCATAAATTACCTTTAATATACCTCTCCTTGACATTGAATATAATTATTACCATTAGGTACTAGGTACTATAAATGATTCACCCTGAGAATCTATATTAAAATTACGATCCTATATTAAAACTTATCTATTATTTATACTCGCCATTGATTGATAAATTAAAGGACAAAATTTAGTCGGTAAATTTATGCAAGTTGCTGAAAATTGCATCCTGGCTCTAGCATCGTGTTTGTCGAATATTTTGATATTTTACGAAATCATGATGTGTCTGAAACGCCACGCGAATGTTGAATTAGAAATGAGCTTGTCTGTTTTAGAACTTTAGAAAAAACTGTATCACGACACAAAAATTAAGTAGTTCAAGGACAGTGCTATAAATCAAATTCAACTAAAAATACTTAACTTGAATTTCTCCTTTGAATTTACTTTTATATAAAACCCCGATAACTTATTACTCACAATCAATCAGTTATTAACGCAGGTTTATATTATAAATGTAGTGTTTACTTGATATAGTTGAAAAAATGGTGGTAAGTACATAACCATGCAATAATTATTAATTCAAAACATGCATGCCAATAATTACAGCAGGCCGAGTTAATCGAAATTTGAATATGTAATCTATTACGCTTAATGGTCCGATGCTAATTACCTAATTGATGGAAATCCTCGAAGGACCAACATTTTATGCGACCGGCCCCGTTAAAAAGATATCTCTCCGGCTGGAACGATCCGCAGAGTACACCAAATATTCATGTCCATCGTGATAAGGGTCCGAAGATGTCAAAATCGTACACTTTCACCCTCTTCATCAATCGAAAGGGTGGCGCTTCGTATCGGTTCTCACGATCTTTGTCCGTCGAAGGAAGTTCGGGCCGCCGCCGTCGCGATATAGCCGATTGAAAATATCTCCGGAGTAAATGGGCCAGACGAAAATTGTGTTTCGATTATGCTGTATACAAGTCGATGGCGGTGCTCATTTTTCTTTGATTAGATTGTGTCAATTCTCCGAAGAATAACCGTCCAATATGCTTTATTGATTTTGATATGTATTGATTGATTGGGATTTCATGTTATTGAATGTTTGTAAGTGATAAATTTAATTAAGGAAAATATTATATCATCTGAATGGTAAGATTTAAGAAGAGAGAAAAATGTTGTAATGGCTAAAAATAACAACATATTTGCCTATAGTAAACACTATAATTTCGATGAGCCTGTGCGAGGGTAATAAAAAGATACGTTTTTACAAGTTCGTTGCTATTACCATTTTACAACTAGGTATAAAGAACTGAAAATATTATTGTGTTTATGTCCTTGATTTACATATCGAGGTTATTTCCATTTCCCACATTTCCAACGGTGAAAATTTGCTACACAGTTGGACAAAGTTTACATGGAGTTCAAACGTCGAGGGGACTTTTATTTTCTTATATCGCCCAATTTGGACCAACAATCGTTTTAGTTGCGATAAAAATTTGCCGAATTTAATGCAGAATATGCGCATAAATTTCATATTCCTCGACTTTTCCATTCGTTGATTATTCCCCGAAGACAATAAATTTAGACCCTCCGTTAATTCTAATCAAAGCCGCGGTGTAATTTGGCATGGTACGGTAAGGATCCTTATTTTAGACACTATACCGCTCGTATAACATTTTATATAGAAAATATACGTTAGGGCCGGGGTCGTAATGGTATCGAATGAACTGTAAAGTATGTCAAGTTTGCTTTATAAATAAAACGTATATTTACCTAATAACGCGGAGAGTAAAGGCAGGTATAGAATCTAATAGGGTTGGAGTGTTTATGAGCAAACTTTTATGTGCTGTATTTAATAATGTACGGTGTACAAGTATGATGTACATAATATACTACCTAAATAGGTTTCATATTCACACAGGGTATAGATAATAAATAAAGAGTTTTTTTGTGATCTGACGTATAATTATCGTTGCGTTAATTCGTTTTACGTTAAAATAGCGTCATGGTAATTCTACGTGATTTCGCTAAAACTCCTTAATAAGTTCATTTTGCCGGAGTTGTTACGTTTAATACATTTCTTAAGGAATTAAGCGAGCGTTCTATATTGAATTAGTACGGTAGAAAACTGCTTTTTCACCAACCTCGTGTATATTAACCTCAAAATGACGGGAGTTACATTGTTCGAGACAACGACAGCAACCGCCGCTTTCTAATTAAAGCCAACAAAACGTGAACGTAACGACTTAATTCGGCGCCTAAATACCCACCCTAATGCCCTCCTATCCCCCGACTGGAGGTCTCCTGTTCCCTGTGAAATACGCCAGGTTTTTGTTTGTAGTTTATTATAGCACGAGGCGGTTTTTAGATCTAATAACAAAATCCCTAACATTGCTACGAAATTTATTAACTGCTTTTAGTTTAAATTATAGCAACACGATCATTTTTATACCTATTTTGTCGTGTTTTGTTAATTTATGATTTTTTAAAGCGCTTTTATCAAAAAATAAGTTAAGGCAGACTGGGGCAAATGTAAAAATTGGGTAAATGTAAGATTTTTACCTATTATGTTAAAATGGGGTAAATGTAAGATTTTTACCTATTATGTTAATGTTTTTTTATTATTTTTAGAGTTCTTTTGTCCATTTGACAGGGTTTGTTTCTTATTTTTTCTCTATTATTTTGTAGCTCTGTTATTTTTTGAAATAAATAAATAAACAGCATATAAAATTTTAGAGGAACCAAATATTATTTTACAATTGCCCCATATGTTTTTCTATATAATTGTATTGCACTTTAGGACCGTTTGTTACATTTACCCCGTACCATGGGATAAATGTAACATATTGTCAACATTTTAAAAAAATATGTAAAATCGTTTTCTTCCTCTTTAAATAAAAACTTTTTAATACCTCGATTTTGTAGTTTAGGAAGTTGTGAATTTAATGTGGTATCAGCATTTCTAATAAGAGAAAAAATAAAGCCACATTTTAGGATTTAATTTGAACTATTCAAATTTTACAACCGATTTGCCCCAGTCTCCCTTACATTGTAATAAATCTATTTTAGTTTGAGTAACGTAAAACTATAAAGAAACGACTTTATTCTGATACATAATGATTGCATATTAAATAAACAAGTAAATATAAGCAACAATTATTATCTGTAATTTAGTAGCAGAATAGATTAAGACGTCGAAAGTGTCAAACACAACCGATAATAACGGTTTCTAATTACTTCCATAATCGCCGAAGTTAGTGTAGCGGTCGCGCAGAAACCGTAAACTGAAATTTATGCACCATAAGCAGCAGAAAAATACGATTCGCGCATGCATTATGCATCGCGACGCGGTAATGCCTCTGCGAACTTTCTCGAATAAAAACCACTGTAAATCTTTCACACGGTATACACCGTTTCGGCGTTCGAGAAATAGCCTCTTCGACATTGTGCGAAACGCGGAACGCGCAATAAGTTTTATTGTTCTGCGATAGAAACGGCAGGAATAATAAGTTATGGATATTTTATGGCTTTTAAATGGCGATTGCAACGTTAATGAGCTAGATTAAAACTTTATTAGGAGCGAACTGCCACACTGGATTAACTTTAGCCACACGTGCAAATTGGGCTGCATTACGACAACAGTTTAATCCTCTATCAATTGACAGCACATTGTGGTAGGATTTTTCCGCTTATTATCGCTGATTGCATTGGTTTTTCGAGCGTCGCGACGTCTTTAACGAGCAGAAAAGCACATTTGACCGACGAAATTTAATAACGTCCGACACCGATGACACTCCCGTTCTCTCGAAACGCCGCGAGAAATCCGATTATGAAGTTCTAGCGGTTTCGCGCGGATCATAATTAGCCGTTTACGTTTCTGCTGGAAAGTCTTCGCAAACGGTGCGTATCGCTACACATAAACGCACAAAGCAAAACCTAATTGTATTTAATTAAGTCACTGCCAGCGCATATTACCCTCGAATACGAGTTTAATTTTCCAAAAGGGTACATATCTAACTCCGCTTTGAACTAGCGAAACTTCCAGTTCCGATTCGTACGAGGTATTTACTGAACTACGGAGCGTTGAATGCAATATAGGAATTCCATTAATTACGACTGTATTCGTTTGCAGTACTTGCCGCGATGCTTCGACAACGCTCCATTGAAACTGCTCGCGATCCTGTGCATCTCGTTCGACCTGGGCGGCGGCAAACGGTCCTCGTACACCTCCACGAAGACGGAGTACGGTGATGGCGGCAACGTCCTGCACATCGGCGGCATCTTTCCCATCGCCGGCGAGGGCGGCTGGCAGGGCGGCCAGGCCTGCATGCCGGCCGCTAATCTTGCCCTCGAGGATGTCAACACCAGGAAGGACCTGCTGCCGGGATACGTGCTCAAACTGCACAGCAACGACAGCGAGGTAAGCAAATTAATATACACTGTTGGGAATTTAATTTCGCTTAATAGGGAAATTAATGTTAAATTCTTAGCCGGCTGAAATCCAGTTTATCAGTGTACATTTCAATAGAACTTCGCGATTAATTCTAATAAATTTAATTGTTCTACTGGACCGCACGCCGCGATTTGTAGAGGTACAAAGTTATTTAGAAACTAAATTTAATATTTTTTTGAGGATATTTCAAAAAAAATGTGTATCGGTAGGTACAGTTTTGAAAGAGCAACAAATCTTGTTGAAATAAGGGAAAAAATAATTCAATTTTCTGCTAGAATTATACCTCAGCTCAGTAATATGAAATGACATCTGTATGACAGGTTTGGCTATTGTTTAGCAGAAAGCGGTGGACTAGTTTTTAGAGTTCTTTTATTTTCTGTTTTAAAATTATCTTTTAGTTTATTTTTGGAGTTTCCTTTTTATTATTTTCTTAGATTTTACTTTCTTTTTCAAGCCATTGTGGCAACCCAACAAATCATATTTTTACCATTATGTAGTCTGACCTCCAAGAGTAAAAATGTGATTTTTTGGGTTTAAGGGTTGAGCACTAAAATCTGACTTTAGCTATCTTAAAAGCACTAAAATGAACAAAAAATATGAAACAAAAATCATTTTTCTATCTATACTTTTAATGACACTTTACTCTTGGAGGTCAGACTATACAAAATAGTAAAAATGAGATTTTTTGGGTTTAAGGGTTGAGCACTAAAATCTGACTTTAGCTATCTTAAAAGCACTAAAATGAACAAAGAATATGAAACAAAAATCATTTTTCTATCTATATTTTTAATGATACTTTACTCTTGGATGTCAGACTACAAAATAGTAAAAATGTGATTTTTTGGGTTTTAGGGTTGAGCACTAAAATTTGACTTTAGCTATCTTAAAAGCACTAAAATCATTGAAAAATTAAAGATCGAAATCGTTTCCCTATTACTATGTTTATCTGTTTTTCAATTGACTTCAAATACGTTTTTATCAAATATCTTTAAGATTAATTACCTTAAATGAAATTCTGAGTAGTGCATTCGAAAGCACTAAAATAGCACTAAATTCCGATACATTATTTTTTAATTTTGTTTAAATATTTAAATATGGGGGTGCTAGCTTTATAAACTTAGCACCGCCATTTTCAATCGCAATTTTCTGCTCAACCAGACGAGCACTAAAATTAGGAAGTGGGCACTAAATTAGCACTAAAATAGCACTAAATTATCATGTATGATTTTTTATTTTTTTTGATGGTGGGGGTGCTAGTTTCACGCGGGTGAAATTAGACGCTGTATCAATAAAATAATGCTATTGAAAATGTTATCAAAAGAGTACCTACCCTTGTGCCAGCAAAGCCGTGCAGCCATTTACAAGATATTTTGTTTCATATACAATTCCTAAATGTGCACATGATAAATTAGTAAATATTTCCATATTTTGCTACAGATAACATTATTTTATTGAACCTTAAAATCTTTCGCTCTTATTGAAACACCCTTTACCAATGATTTTTTGTAAATTTTAAAGATCGAATTAGCGCTTTTTTATGGTTCTGTGGAGGGCATTTTAAACGGTTTTTGGGGTCCCAACCAATCAGTATGAGAGTACACGGGGGCCCTTTAATTACGGCTGCTAGATACACCGCAATCAACTCAGGGTTTACAACCGAATGCAAGACGATAAGGCGTATCTCCGGTCCGCACAATGACACGTCCCGTGAGTTTGTTCTCGTACGAGGAACGGGTTGTTTTAGATCGATTGTTAAAATTATCGTGGGAGATAAAAAAGCGCTGAATTCGTGTATACCGTATGTTATTTTTCGGTTAATTTATGCGTTAGGTAATTAGTCGTTACCATTTTGTGTTGTTTTTAAAGCCAATTATTCGCCCCCAATGAAATAGCTTAAATTTAGTGGGGTAACCAGAACGTTGGCCATAAAATTTTACTGAATTAAACGCCTCGAGCCCTCAGGTTAAATCAGCGAATACAAAATACAAAAGAGCACGAAAGCCACTCTTTAATAGTTCTAGTGTTTTATTCATTCGGAAGTCTATCGGAAGTGTAAGGAGACGATTCCAAGTGTAATGAATGCAAATTGAGTTAATCCGGGAACATGCCCGGAATTATAAGGATTAAAAATATTGTGTAGCAAGGAGAAATCTTTCCCAAGAGTATTTTCTGTCGTAACTCGATTAGATTCGAATTTATTAGTGCATGCAAACAAACAAATCAAAGTTAAATACGAATATAGTGAAGACAAATTAATCTGATTTCGAAACAAGTTGATTTTAATGCAATAACGTCAGTTTGTATTGATGCCTCGTTCCAGATAAACGTAAAAAAAACTCGTTCGTCTAGGTTAAATTTGATTTAAAAGCGTTTTAACTTTGCTCACTGCATTATTAATGGCATCAGAGAGGTGGAAAAAACTGAGCAAATTTGTTCAACACAACTCATCAAATATTATAAAGATTGTTAGAGTAAAGTTTGCTGTAATAACAGAAGCTAGATTTACCTACTGTAACGTTCCTAATATCCGTGAGACAATCAACTTATGCCGCTAACATAAACAGCGTGTGCATTAAGTACAGCATTTACCTCTACTTCGTCTTTTAAAACTCTACCAATTCTTGCTTCATAATAATTAATTTATGAACGATCTTACTACATAATTTGCGTTTATTATCAAATTGCGTTAATATTTATGCTTCGGCTTGCGTTGGAATACATTCCTTACGTATACATGATACCTACTATCTCGTTAGCGTTTCTCATTAACTACAAGATTACAACAAAGGTTAACTTTGCCACGAAATTGCATTAGCAATGTTGTGTTAGGATAATTAACAAACCCTTGCTATAGAATATTATTGTAGTAGATTAGCTACTATTTTTCCTAATTTGAATACCAAATTTGCACTATAAAAAAACGTAATAGAAGCTTGTATCTTAGCTTGTAAGCTAATGGGTTTAATTTAATTGTAATAATAGAATTATATGAATTCAAATTGTAGTGTTTCGACTTTTTAACGCTATATTTGCGCAAATAAAATCACTTTGCTAAGTTGATTGCAGTTTACGAAATTGTCTTGTATTATGTGAGAAGTGTAATTCTTTTTAGAAAATTAAATGTGACGGCATTTACCTTCGCATTACCAGCACGATACTTCATAACATTATGAGACCATAAACCGAAGGTATTAGGTTACTAAATATAGAGAAAGTTCGTGTTCGCGTACAGTTTAAAATATTTCGCATTCTTTTTTAAACTAATACGAGTTAATGCATTTTTCTCTCCGTTTGCGCGCGGATCGATAGCGGCCCATTAATACTCGTATTGCACAACTTTTAATACCTCCGCAACAAAGAACTCCGTCGAATTGACAGACCTTTTTCGTCGTGTGCAGTAGATCCATGATTTTACTCGAGTTCTGAAGTTTGCCAATCAAACTCTGGGAGTTGTATACGCAAAACAATGCAAAAGATATGTTCCGAACTATTACCGGCAATTCCAATTTCAACAAACTTTAATAACAAAGTTTAATGTTCAGATAAATGTAACAGAGTTCGGGTCAAGAATTCGCGGAACTTTCGGAAAATACGATGAAAGTATATAGGTATAATGTGAAGTTTGCAGGTAAGATAACGGCAAATAACCTTAATAAAGATGTTGAAACGAAATTTCTCTAATGAAAAATTTTACGAGCAACTTTAGCTACAATTGAATTTGGAGGTGTGAGTTGTAATTCTGAATTTTTCATTAACTTTTTGACATAAGTCAATATAAAGTCTGATGCCCGATTTCACCAACATGTTTTTATATAGGCATTTCCTAACTAGGTAATTCCTCAGGTAGGAATTACTTAAATCGAATACTTACCTATATCGAATTTCACCAACATTAGAAATCCCTTACTAAGATATATCTAGGTAAAAATTTGATTTCGATAGTTTTTTGAATTTTATTGGTAGCATTGCCTAATTTTGACGTGTAAAGATAAAGGGGGGTTGTAAGGGGGCGCAGCCCCCTTACTAAAAAAAACGTAAAGGGAAAGGGGGGTTGTAAGGGGGCGCAGCCCCCTTACTAAAAAAGAAACATAAAGAGAAGGGTGGTTGTAAGGGGGCGCAGCCCTGTTCTTTATAAAAAGAAAAAAAACCTGTACGTTAAATGTCATGTCAAGTGTCATTCCTAATTTTTGTATTGATATTTTTGATATTGGTACTTGCCTTTATTCGTAATATACATTCGATAAAAATAATTGAATCTCGTTGTTATTGACAATTCAATTGGTTTTCGGCGACATTTTCCTCAAGAATTCAAAAATTCTACAAAAAAAAAAAACCGAATAAGCGGAGATCGAAATTGAATATGTTGAGAGAAATGAAGAGATGTTGATGATCCGGGTCATCTTCAAAACTATGTTAGTTATTTTTAAATCTGCTGAAGATGTAATCTGTACATTAATAGAAAAATAACCTTTTTGATTTGTAAAATATTTCTGCATCTTCTCCTCCAGGATAATAGGTCTTTACATGCATGTGTACGGTCAATAGATCTAAAAACTTCCTGTGTTTCAAATTAAAAATTATCTTCAATTCTTTCTAATATTTGTAGTGCCGTATTTTTATACTATATCGAAAAAGACGAAAAAAAAATCAGTTTCGTCCAGTTTCTAAAAACTCCTTCCATTTTAAATTTTCATCTAAAGAGTCTAAAGACAGTCAAGTCTTAAGTCACATGAAATCACATGAGAAGTATGGTTAAGTATTTCCAAAATATTTTAGGCAAGTCCAGTGAGCTGTCCTAACTTTAGGCATTTCCTATTACCTTTAGGTATTACTTAGCGCATGGTGAAACGCAAATTGTACTTAGGAATTCCTATAAATCCTGTTTAAGTATTACCTAACTTTAGGAACTGGTTGGTGAAATCGGACATGAATGACAATTTTTAAAGTAACGCTATTTCTACGTGTAT